GCCCCCTACTACAGTATAACAATGAAAACACGGATTCTAGGAACACAAGTATAGCTCAAATATATTTAGACTTTTTCTAAGTATAAGTCAAGGATACTTAAATGTCATTTTAAGTATATTTCTGAGAAGTACATAAAGCCCATTTCTGAGAAGTACATAAAAAGTAGACTAAAAGTATACTTTCCTATATTTAGTTTAAAAGAAGTATACTAATAGCACACTTGAATAAACTTCTTTTTCGTAAGGGGAGCTAAAAAAAATAATTTTAAAGGAGACAGGGAGTGCTCTAACGTCGAGAAAGTAGGCAAAGAAAAAAAATATTTTGAGGTAAGACAGCATAATGTCACATCTGACTTAATTGAATTAATGTGATCATGTTAATGGATGACAGAACTGATACCACCTGAATCAGCAGGTCATCACAGACTATGATATTCCAAAACAATACACTGGGGTTCACAGGACGCGTTCTTGCGTTCCGTCTGCTCTAATGTTTATCATTGAAACATGGGTCAGACAGACGTCTCTCGCCGGTGCGTCGCGTCTGGCGTTATTCCCGTTTTAAGGGAACAGTTGTCTGTTCATTATCCGAGTAGTGACTGAAGATGTCATTCAGCGTAACCATTACTGTTCCTTTACAGAATTAAAGTAATACTGATTTGGAACGTCGTGAGATTGAGAAAACGAAAACAGAATTTTAATTTTGGTTTGGACTGTCTCTTTAAGAAGGCAGAACTGTTAAAAACAGCACAACTTTTAAAAACGCGTCGCAAGAACGTTGTCGACGTCTTGCTGCAAGAAGAACGCGCCCTGTGCGACGCATTCCAGGTCGGATACGCACAGTACTGTATATTTTAGAACCCACATCGAACGCATCTACGAGTTTAAACTTGTGGAAAAAACTCGGTCGTGACTGCTTCATAATTCACAAGATCAATTAATGAATTATATTTTAACGCTATATTGTAAGGCGAGAAACATAAGTGTCCTTCAGGTAAGTGATTCGCAGGATAACTCAAAACGCAGCAAACGCGTGGCGCGTATTGGCGCGTCCCCATATTACCGCACTATACAACATAATCAGTTAGTCGGACATTTAGATGTACTAAACATATTATTTATATCTGGATAAATACATTGCAGTAATGAAATCGATCGCCTTACCTTTGAATCAAGCTCGGTTCCAGTAAATGCCGTGAATGGAGACAGTGGGGAGCGATGTGGTCTGCTGGAGACACAGTGAGGTCTGCTGTCCGAACTGTTGCCTGTCTCCTCTCTAAGCGCATGTAGGCTATTCTTAACTGAACGAAACCCCTCCCCTGCTTCACACGATATTTTCAGCCACGTTGTATTTAGAAACCGATTAGCTTCTCCAAATCCATACCTAAATGAGCTACCTGTCGAAATGATTTGCTAGTCCTTATCCATACTCGCTTGGCATACTGTAATATGCACATTTTAAGTTTCATCTGTCAGGGCTGCGTTGTCAAAATATGCCATGAGGTCAGTGTTTTGCTTTTTTGTGAGAAGAGTTTTATTTTTCAGTCACAGCCTAAACACCAAAAGGCAGGTTAAACTGAACCCTTTGGAAATATCTGTGTAAATAAATCAGTGGCTCCTAAAATGGCATTCAAACTTTGCCCAAGAAATAATAAATACAGATAAACACTGCACACACAGTTTTTGCAAGTGCTTAAGGTCCTTAGACATGTGACCATTTTTGTCCTATTAAAAGTTTAAATATATTTTCTGATTGTCTCCTACTATACATTGTGATTGATTGGATTGGGGACGGTAAGTAAAAAAAAAAAAAAAAAGTTATTTATAGTTTTATTCTTTAATTATGCATTTAATTGCTAAAAAAAGTGACAGTAAAGAAATTTATAATG